CCCCCACCCCAGCTGTGCTCCCACCCACATGCATTATCTCCACCCCTAAAGTGCTTCTCTTTCAATCTGCTCACCTCCTTTTTGGCAGCGCTGTTGAATTTGTTGACTAAGAGACCTTTGGAGCTCGTGAAGACTGCGTCAACCCTCTGCACCCAGCTTAACAGTTGCTGTCACTTGCTTGGCTACATACTAACTTGCTGTAGGAGGGTAATTAGTCAGAGTGATTTCCCGCCCCCTCCCACTTCCTTTCTCTGGCATCTGCTTAGCACAGCGTTGCATAGATGTCATGGAAATCTTATCAGCCGTGCTGTTTGCCATTTGTCTCGTCGCTGTTCGACACATGAACCAGATGCGATAGTGAACATATAGTTTGCATAAACGTAGGATGAGGCAGGTAAGATCGTGTCTCAGAAGCCCCACTGATTCCTACAGTCACCATCATGCTGAGTGTTTTTTTTATTTAAAGATATTGAGCGATATAGTCATATAATTAAGGCTTTTAAGGTGAAATGCTATTAAAGAGTAATTAGTAATACTTTTTTTTCAAAAACAGAATCCAATCATTGATTTGACATCAGTAATAATCCATCAAGATACAGCCTCGTGGATGTTTTTTGAACGCAGGCCTCCATGCTACCCTTCAGCACAGAGTAAATATGTGCAATTAGAAAATAAATGAATATAAACAAACAGAGTCACATTTCTGTTATCCACTAATAAATGATTGTTTACACATTCTGCATGGCCGGTCATGCTTAAAATGGAAAAAGGTCCAGCCTGAAACGCTGAAATAAGTTTCACGGCTCATTAAATTCCAGCTGTAAACGGGTTTGTCAGAGAATGCAGTTGTTTGGGGACAAAGACTGTCAAGGTTGTTGATATACTGAGCAAGCAGCACGCAGATGCCTGCATAATCATCGAATACAAATTGGATTGATGAGATTTTTTACGTTTGATTTCAAAGAGCACATAAAGAGTCAAAGTAGGATTAAAATGATTAAAATAAATAGTTTTCATGGTACAGTAAGAAGCACAGGTTTGCAGATATTTGACTGGGACTTTTCTGCTTCCACTTCATAAAATATGAAATAGATTTTAAAAGCCTTTATGAAATATTTAATGAAATAATATTTTGTGCCTATTTTAAAAAGGAATTCAACTCATTATCATATTACAAACTGTTATATTTAAACATTTTGATGTTTTTGAACAATTTAGTATTTTTTGTGATAACAAACAAACACAATGTTAACATTGTCTGATAAAGGACCACAGAAGAGAAAAGAACAGACCAAGATCAATAAAATGAAATATCATGAGGGGAATTTATAACCTTATAGTACAACATTCAGGATTCGTGTTCATTCACTACTCTTTCCAGTCTCTGTTTCCGTTGTGTTATGAATGGTGGGCTTGGTTGTTTCCATTTCACAGTTATCATTTTCTTAGCTATCAATAGTAGTATATGTAGATTTTTTTTTTGTCTGGGCTATAAGCCTCTCTAGGTATAACTCCTAAAAGAAATAAGGTTGGATTTAATGGAGGATTAACTTGTAGGATTTTCTGTTTCTTCTTTGATTCTTTTCCAGAATCCTGAATTCTTGGACAATCCCCACAAATATGTGAATAATCTGCTGTTTCCCCACATTTTCAGTTCTTTATTAGGTATATAAGATACCTTGTGACAGGTTTTGCTTCCCATATATTATCAGTGATTATAGCATTTAATTCTAATTCTCCTTAATATAAACTGTATTTTGGCACGACTCATTTATTTTGTAAATATGAGAAACATGTTTCTTAGTTGGGAGATGTTTTTCCATAATAATAATAATAATAATAATAATAATAATAATATTTAAGCATTTTATATCCAGTTATCCTACATATTACATTACATTATACATAATGCTAAAGAATATAGATTTAAAAGACTGTTTTACAAAAAAAGCATGTCTAATACAAATTGCGCCCTAAACGTGATGAGTTATGCAGTCCCACCGTTTTCCATCACTTTCCTCCAACATTAATGTCATGAAAAAGCTTATAAAAACATCTTTGTGAAATATGAAACTGAATATGAAAAAAACAAAAAACAAATTAAAAACAGTCAAATTAATTATGAAATACCATTTGGCCAAAACAATTAGAACTTTAATAACTTCCTTTTGCAAATAGATTCTTGATTAACACAGCGGTGTGGTACAATAAAATACCATTATTTATGTT